CTCCCACGAAATATTTTTTACTGCATATACGTCGATGATGTGCAGATTGGTTACAAATCGTGCAACATCTCAATGTGCCAACGTCAAGTTCAACTAGGGTTGAACAAGGTATCTCAATGGGCAAACGAGAATGGTTTTATACTCAACGCGCAAAAGAGCACTTGTGTCTTGTTCAGCCGAAAGAGGGGCCTCCATCCTGACCCAGACATTGACCTGCATGGTCAACCTCTGTCAGTGAAGACCGAGCACAAGTTTCTTGGTCTCATATTAGACACTAAGCTAACCTTCATCCCACACATCAAGTATTTAAGGGACAGGTGCTTAAAAACAATGAACATTTTGAAAGTGTTGTCACGCACTACATGGGGTAGCGACAGGAAATGTTTAATTAACTTATATAAAAGCCTCGTACGCACACGCCTAGATTACGGTGCTATAATTTATCAGTCGGCAACACCATCAGCCTTGAAAATTCTCGACCCTGTCCACCATCTAGGCATTCGCCTCTCTACGGGTGCTTTCCGCACCAGCCCTGTGGAGAGCCTGTACGTGGATTCAAATGAATGGTCGCTCCACCTACAAAGATGTTCCTTGTCCTTTCTGTACTTTTTGAAGGTGAAGGCAGACAAGAAACACCCTTCCCATTTCATAATTAATGATTTGTCTTGTTCTGGCTTGTTCGAGAACCGTCCTTCGTTTAGGCAGCCCTACGCGCTGCGTGTAAGGAGCCTGGCCGAAGAAACAGGTGTGCCTCTTCTTGAACCCAGTTTGATGGCTCCTGCAACATATCTGCCACCGTGGCAGTGGCAGCTTATAGACTGTGATATCTCTTTTGTTGATGTCACAAAGCACGCACCACTTGCACACATACATACATTTTTCCTAGAACTACAACATAAATACACATGCCCCGAGTTCTTTACTGATGCGTCAAAGTCAAACACTTCTGTGTCATATGCAGCGGTAGGCCAATCCTTTTCCGAGGCTGGCGTTCTTCATCCTAATGCAAGCATTTTCACAGGAGAAGCTTACGCAATACTGGTGGTCGTAAAACACATTAAACAGATAAAATTACAAAAGGCGGTAATATACACAGATTCCCTAAGCGTGGTCAAAGCCCTGAAAACTCCTAAAAAACACAAGAACCCCGTGCTGGTGTCACTCTACTCACTTCTGTGCACACTTTACACATCAAAACAGCATGTCGTTGTCTGCTGGGTTCCAGGGCACCGTGAAATACAAGGAAACGTTTTGGCCGACAATCTGGCTGCTTGCGCCAATGTCACTACTGCCAATGCATCAACACCAGTCCCTGCACTTGACTTAAAACCTTTCATAAAACGAAAGCTCAGGGAGTATTGGCAGAGGATGTGGGATAAACACACAGATAATAAACTACATGCTATTAAGCCGCAACTAGGTTATTGGCCGCCACTATCAAAATCACGACACACAGAAGTAATACTAACAAGGCTTAGAACAGGACACACACATTCCACACACTCATTTCTTCTGTCCACCGGTGATCCACCATATTGTGAGAGGTGTGGAGACCCCCTTACGGTTCTCCACATTCTCGTCCAGTGCAATGAGCTAGATGCTCTAAGAAAAAAGCACTTTTTACTGCCCTACCGACAGCAGCTCCCTCTACACCCTGGGATGCTCATCGGTAGGGATCCGCTTTTTAAACTGCATACACTTTTTAGGTTTTTAAAAGATGTGCAAAGCTTTCACCCGATATTTCGAGGTCATCCGTAGCACGACCTGTATAGTGTGGTCGTCGCTGCGGTGACTATATCTTCATCATGGTTTGATTATCAAGACAATTTTGCCATCAGCTATCACCACACATATGTCACGCCACTGTCATAATTTTATTACTTTCATGTTTTAACCCGCGTTAGAGCGAGGAATTTTAAGGCCCCTTTACAGCCACGCACCATATCATTGTTCATATCTGTAGTCAATTGAAATGGCGCTCTTTGGCCATCAATTGGCCCTTGCGCCACTAAAATCTACTCATCATCATCATTAAGATTAAATGAATTGGCCAATTCCTTAGCACGAGCCGCACTTGATGGGCCAGTTTTGCCCATACTGCCAGATGTTGGATATATCACGGCAATAAGATATCGAAAATCAGCAATCTCCACTGATACGATAGAAAAAGTAACTACACGCACAGAATATAACCACCTCATGTTTCCATGGCAACCCCACTGGAGCCAGTCCAGAAAACTCTAAGTCTTAATTACTAAATTTCGATGTCGTGTCCCCCCTTTAAACCTGTATCTACACAGAGCTGGTCAGACAACATCACCCCTCTGCGCTTTCTGCGGAGAAATGGAATCACTAGATCATTATTTTTTGTATTGTCGCTGCTACGCTATACTTCGAAAAAGGTTACTGGTTATGCCATTTCTGAAAATAGACGTTAGATTGATGGCGGAAATGGCGCTAAGCTTTGGTGCCTCAGTTTTGGGACATTGCCACAGGGATGCTTTCAAAGCCGTTTGCAATTATATTCAGGCAACCAAGCGTATACTTTTGTGATCTTCAATCAAAAAATTATTATTTATTACTCCCAGGGCAGAGTGAAGTAAGCGCAGCTGAGTGGTAATCATAACACCTCAAATCTCAAAATTGTTCAACTTGACTTTTTTTTTATTTGCTCTTTCTATGTTGTTTTTTACATTAGTCTTATTATAATACCAATTCATTACACGTAGTTAAAATGATCACAGAAAAACTGCACTACACTTTCTTGGCCAATCCCCCTGAGTGGATATGAGCCATCATCCCAGGGAAACAAACAAAGGTCACTACTGCCCTTTGAATTGGGTCAACTTCCTGTACATTTGTCGAACGCGGCCATCTTGCGAATTTTGTGTTGTTTCTCTGCCAAGATGAAAAAGACGCATAATTAAATAGCACTCGGCCACACTTCGCACAAGGTGAACATCATGGTTCTCCAGTGGGTTGTTATCGAACATGTGCCCATGGAGTTCATCAAAGATCTTTTTTCCGTGAAAATCTTCAAGAACCTCATGCAAGAGATCATGCAGTAATGTCTTCGATGCCAACATCTTACAGTGAAGTACCATTCGCACAAGTGACTCACACTTGCGGCATATTCCGATGACACTTTCTGAAGGGTACTGCAACCCTCCCCTAGTCTTTCTCTTTATGAGAGAAAATAACATAGAATGAGATTTATCTGCAAGTAAAGCAGAAGAGCTCTGCTCGCACATTAGCTTAGTATGTGCACATTAGTTTTCGCACATTAGTTTTTCTATGTGCCTCCATGCCACGGTTCTACCATATTGATCAACAAAAGACCCTTTATGAGCTAAAGCATTTCGCACAAGCTTTAGCATATGGCATGGGTCTAAGAAGGCTGCTATGGGCTGATGTCTGGCTGGGTGTGGAAAAGTTGTTTTTAAGTGGTTCAGGTTGCTAAGGTCACAGCCAAGTTCATGCAGCATTGCAATATTAGCAGCTGCTCCATCGCATGTAACAGCTCCAACTATAGTCCCGGCATCATGCATAAGTAGCCGCCATTGCTTGACAAGATTCGCTCGCTGTTCCCCAGCAATGCCATCCACTAAAAATACCCTAAAGGTAGCTTCCATCTGCCATTGATACACACTGTCCATTACAACAAAAGCTGCCTTTGCTTGTGGCAGTGAGTCGCTATCGTCTCCAGCGCCAATATCAACAAAGCCTTCAAATCTACCAGTGTTCCATTGTATTTGTTGCCTGATCGACATCTAATCCAAAATTAGAATGCACACTGTCTGGTGGCCTCTTGATTGTGTTTCATTGAACTTCATTTGCAGTGCACGAAAGGCCTCGGTTGAAAATCCAGGGTCACCATCAACAGTCTGATACCATTTCCTTATGGTTCTTGGGTGTGGTAGGCACGTATCAAAGACCTTTCTCACATAGGTGTATGCACGAGGGGAATAAAAGTTCAATGTGAGAGCAAATGACCTTAGCTCAGGAGAATACTGCTTTTGCTGTGGCGGCCCTGTGCACTTTTCAATTTGTCTCTCAAGAAGGTGCTTGTTGGCAGATCCAAGACTGTTGAGAGTGTCTACTCTTTCCTTCAGGAGGATGTTATCTTTGATCAGCGAGTCTAGGACAGACTTCATCACTGCCTTTTTTTTAAGTCGCCACCTTGATTGTTGCAATTTTTTATGGTCTTTCTTGATGATGAATGTAGTGCAGCACAGTTTGCTGCACGGTCTCGCAGGCATGCCTTCTCTGGTGTGTTCTCCTTTGAAGTAGAAGCAAGTCATTTGCATGACAGCTTGATCGAAAGAAAGGCAATTTTTTTGGAAAGAAGGGCTCATTTTGTTGTAAAACACAACCTAATGAATTTAACAGATGAATAGACTAGTAAAAGTGCAGGGGTCATTAATTGTTGTCTTTAACTACAGTCTATCAATAATGTAAATTTTTTTGAGTCAAGATGGACTAAAATTTCACCATTTCTTTCAGTGAAATGACAACGGTGATTTTTTGTCCACTTTGACTGATCTCATTGTATGACAGCTCATGACATACAATCATCATACGACAAAAAAATGCACTTTTTCATTGACTGTTCCATGCCTGGATCATTCTGTACTCAGCCCTAAAGAATGGTGGACAAGTTCAACTCGTGCGCAGCAGTTTTTTTCTTCAACTGCCGTACACAAGCTGGCTTTATCTTGATGTTTTGCTGTGGTTTTGATAGGTGGTAGACACAATCATAATAAAGTAATAAAATCAGTACTGAGTTTATTTGTATAGATGACCTGACATATGCAGCAAAAATGCGAAATATAGAATAGAAAAATAGAAACATTTCTAGCCAGATTTCAGGGTAACAGTGGGGCTCAGAAATAGCCAAATATAATTTGTGTCATTAGTGCTTACCAACATTCGTAGAGTGATTCCCTGTTGCTAATTAAAAATGTTCCACAACAGCCTCTACACATGAAAACGCAGGTAAATCACATGTAAGAAATCACTGGTTTATTGACTCATTTTTACATGCATGCATGATGCATGTTAGTACATTGTTATAAAGGTCATGGTGAGCCTGTTCATGCACGTTCAATGTTGCCTGAACATTCTTTATTAGTCAGCTACATTTCAAAAAATGCGTCAACTTCATTTACACATACACGGACAGATGCACATTTTCACATGCAAACATTCCTCATAACTGAGCATGTGACAATCAATTTCATTGGCAGCATCGTTTACCATGATGCCCTTCCTTTTTGTCTTTGGTGTTAGCAGCATGGCAGTTGGTATGGGCAGCTCCTGTGCATAATTACATCTAACTGTAACTTAAATTGGTTCTTCAATTTGATGAGTAGGATGAACATTATGATGAGTCTCTGAGAGCAAAATAGTGAAATCCTGTCTTGACTTATATCACTGTCATTACTCGACAGCACACCTACTTTCCCAGTTGGTCCCTCTGACAATGAAATGCCAGCAATAGAGGCAATACTGGTTAAAGACTAAGTAAAGGAATCGTAAACATGCAGAAGGTTGTCACACTTTTTTTAATGCAATAAGAGAATGCATCCGAGTAGCAAAGAATGGTTGCACTGTGACCTATACAGCACGCATATACTGTTCAATTGCCCAGCCTTTCCAACTGCATGCACTTTTTACTGTAGGTTATGTCAGCAATAGCGAGGCATTGCACAGAAATGCCAGCATATGCCATGGGTACATGCAACAATGGTTACCTTGCTTATTCTATTCTTGGGGCTGTTTTCAAATGCTGGTCCTGATGGGCTTCTGTGAGATGGGCAGTGTGGCATCACAGAAAGAAAGTAAAGAAGAGAATAGAGCATGAAATTTATATTTATACTATACAGTTGTGCTGGTGAGGTTTTCATGATTGTAGTTTCCATTACTATTGCAATAGCATGTAGTCTATTGCAGTCCCATAACCCAGTATTATATGCTGGACTAATGTATCCTTTTATTAGCCAATTCCACATCGTGTGTGTCAGTCTCTCTCATGTACTGAGGTGAGCTGAAGGATTCACACACACAGAATATAATTATATATATGATGCACATGTTTTACCTGCATTGCACAATGAATATTTTAACGTTACATTTTACGATTATATTGGCTCCTTTACCAGGTATCACATGTGTCTGATCTTGAAGTTACGGTGCTTGTGCTCTGGTACTGTAACCACACAAAGCTATGCCGATAATCTGAATCAGCTGGGTTGGCTGATATGCCAATGTGATAAGAATGCAAGAATGTCATTTTTCTGGCTGTCCTTTCAGTATTTCTCAATGGTTATTTCTCTAAGTTTTTCTAAACATAACATTATTGTTTAGCTCTTGTGCTGTTGTATAAAAAAGGAAACTGTTTTTGTGGAAGTCTAGGAGAGAGAGAGTGAAACGAAGTAGGTGGTCAGGGAAGTTAACAACCATGCTTGGCTCAATGTGTGGTAGGAGAAAGGTAGAGTCATAATAAAAAATAGAAAAGAAAGAACAAGAGAAAAAAATTATGTCGTGGCCATCACTATGACAGATTATGTGCTTTATAAAAAGAATTATTATATGAATGATTGAAGGTACACATTAAAATATAATACAATTGTGAAACACACATCTGGCATATGAGTAAAAAATTTGCTAGTTTCTCGTAAAATGGTACTAAATTCACTGGCACATATATCAGAGTCCCCTGCTTTCCATAGACTATGATTACCTTTGAAGGCTGCCCAGGTGCTAAAACCCTGCTGCAGAGTTCCGAGGGCCCTGGAAGCACTGCGTTGAGCTCCTCACTAATGACCGTGGTTGCCTGTGAAAATGATGAGTGTCTCGATCATTTGTTTTGCGACTTGTGAAACTGTTATCATACTTTAAATGAAATGGAAGTTACATTGAGTAGAGCATTTGTTCAGGCAATTTCACAATCCATTGGTGGGGCCCTAGAATCATCAACAATTAAAAACTCTTCTCATGTTTTTGTTTTTGCTGTTGATTCATTGTAAAAAATCTCATACCTCAAGAACTGATGCACACAAAAGAACCGTTGTTTAGACAAATCAAACCTAATGAAATGCCGCTAAAGCAATTTTTAACGCCCTAGTTGAAGGTAAGCAAAATACTAGATTACACATGAACAGAAGCCAATAATCACAGATTTTCAAACTGAACATGTTCAAGCTGTCTAGCTTGAGGGTGTTGCAATGGAGCCGGCACTGCTGTTTGCAGGTACATTGGGATCTTGATGGCTGGTATCTATGTGGAAAGCTGTCAGTGCCTAACATACCTGTGCTTCCAATTGGGCTTTACGCTATCACTGACATGGCACTAATATTGTCTTTTTAAATGTATTTGAATCACCACGAAAAGCAGTAGCAGAGAGAAATAAAATTCTGTATTATTGTACGTACTTCTGCACATGACAATACATCCGTGCGAGTTTCGAAGATTAGGGAAGGCCCCACAGCAGCCTCCTTGCTTGCACTTTCAACAGCCATGGGCACCTAAAAGCAAGGCCCACACTTTTGCAGTTTATTTTCAAGGCACACTCAGGAACAAAGTTGTTGCTTAATTTCAAATTGCAGTAAAGGAAAGGTAAAGAACGTACAGGTGATACTTCTGTTGATGCAGCCTCTTTGGAATGTGCTGGCACGAATGTTGTGCTTCGAGCTGCTGCATATGCGCCTCCTGGTTGCTGTAGCCGAAACATGCGTAGAGAAATGCATTTACGGCAAACATTGTTATCATATATGAACCTGCTCAAAACATACTGAAGTCTGTAAATAAAGTTTGCAAAAATGCTCACGCAAACGTCCATGAAGCCTAAACTTTGGATGAATGTGTACGTAAGCTGCAACAGCTAATTTGAATATTAATTAATCAGAGTATATTCACTGTGGTTACTTCCGGCTTTAAAAAGGCAATCTTGCGACCTCAACTCTTAGTGTAGATGATGTCAAAGTGTGTCACAGAAATAAATTTACGAGCTAGGGTACTTTCACAAAATGTGGTTAATGAACGATTTCATCCGGGCTCAGTGCAAGTATTATTAAGCGATGCCGAAAGAAAGATGGAACTGCACAACATGAAACAGCAGCATAGCCATATATATTTTCCAGGAGCGGGGAAGGCGAAAACACCTGTATACTGCGAAGAACGTAGGTGCGGTACGGTCGGTGACTTTCGCAGAGAGCAATATAAAATATCGCCTAATTGTTTCCTCCATGGGTCACGCCAACCGCAGGTGCCGCGATAGCTATATCTTCAGTTCGGCGGAAAGCGGTGAGCTCGCAGCGCCGTTAATTACATTAGTTCATGATAGCGCCGAGGCGAGCTTTCTTAAGATAATGCCATCCACTTTTTACCCGAAACGCGTGTTTTTTTTTTTTATCCCATGCTTTACTGTACGTACGGTTTTTCACGCCGCGAGTGTTTTGTGTTTCATGTAGGCCTGCAACTGTCGGCATCGAAGGCCTGCCACACGAGTGCGCGCACATTTCTCGGTGTTTCGTATTCTATAGACACATTTGAAGCGCAAACACAGCCCGCCTAAGCATCCCCTGCAGCAAGATCGAGACGTACATTACGTCGCGTGGGCCTCAACAGATATGTCACAAGAAAAAAAAAAGAGGGGAGGGGATCTTCAGAAAGACCCGATTTTTCACGATGCTTCGAACAATTAAATGCAAATAAACAACCACTGAAACTACTTAAGCATTAAGTTACATGATCGTTATGGAAAGTGTCAAAATAATTCGGTTGCAGTTTTCTCTCACCAGAATTCTGCGAACAGCATAAACTCGCAGACGAGTTCTTAATGACGATGGGGGATAGAAGTCCTCTGGAGCAAAGAGACGCGGCGTTTCAGCGCGCGCGTGAGACGCATGTCACGTCGGCTCCGTCGGAAATCGACGAATGTTGTGGACTTTTGGCAAATATACACCAGAAACCAGGTTCAGCGTTTCGGCGAAGCCATCATGAACCTCTGGATACCTATTTTATACAGGTAGGCCCATTTTCCGCCAATTTACGACTGGTTCAACACCACGCGACGCCCGAGCCCGGCTAAGCCTAACGCTGACGAGGCTTACGCCCGGGCTCCCCAGCCATGGCAGCGTCCACGAAGACAGGCTACGACCCCAGCACGATGCAGTGGGTTGACATCGAGGTGGCAGAAACACGGGAAGACCCCATAACAGGTGAAGACGAATATCTACAGATCATGGTTCGCTAAATGCAAGAGAAGCTCGCTAAAATGAAGCCCCGAGGCTCGACGGCCGCCGCCCAGCCACAGGCTCGCAAAACAGGATCAACACCCGCAGCTTGCGTTGAGTCGCCGCGGCAGCTGGCGACGTGGAAGCCAACACACACGCCTCGAATCCGGTCGGACGAATTGGTTATTGTGCTTAAACCAAAAATAACCATGGATCTGCACGCTGCGTTCGGCCCAGGCGGGATTGGCACAGCAGTGCAACGCTTCACCGGCAGCACCACGAACGCTGGTATCTCCGTGTGGCCGGTGTGGGACCAAAACATCGTTGTTGTAGGTGTGAAAACGGGAAGCCTGGCCTCGAAGCTCATCGGGGACATCACGCTGACGATCGGGGACCGCCAGGTACCATTTCAAGGACATTTGAAATCAGCCGGAGAAACCTGCAAGGGTGTCGTCAGCGTCGCAGACAATGAAACTTTGGAATCCCTTCGACACAAGCTCTAGTGGATCGACGGCGAAATTTTGTATGTGCGAAAACTCGGAACATCCAACGTTGCAATGGTGACCTTCAAAGGACGCCGCGTTCCAAGATTCATTCATTACTGCTCTGAAAACGTGCCAGTGCGCTACTACAAGAAAATGGTTCCGGCATGTTACCGGTGTGGAACGGTGGGCCACAGACCGGATGCGTGCCCCAATCCGGACAATCAGCGGTGCATTCACTGTGGTGCAAAGGTGGAACTCACTCCGGAGGGCCCAGCGAAGCACGACTGTCAACCCGAGTGCCTTATATGCAGTGAAAACCATTTCACCGGTTCAGCGCAGTGCGTCGGAAAATTCCGGAAGGCATGGAAGCCCGCTCAAACACAGCGGCAACATGGACTAAAAAACAAGCAAGAGCCCCCAGCTTCTCTCAGGACTGACGAAAAAGCGAAGCCCATGCATAACAAGCCCAAGCCGATCAAAGCCCCAGCCGTACAGAAGTCGAGGCCGCCTACCTTCGGCACCGAGGATTTCCCGTCACTGGCAAACCCGCCCAAACAGGTGAGCAATTGGGTAGGGGTCTCCTCTCAGTCCCTCACCACCACCACTGCCTCCCCCTCCAATTCTGAAATTTTAAAACAATTGGAAGCCATGAAAAAACGCATTGAAACTCTGGAACGCGAAAATCGGGCGCTGAAGGCGTCGCAGGCTGCTACTCCTCCACCACCGTCGGAACCGGTGGCTATGCACACCTCCGACTGCTCGGACGATGAGCACGACACTCAGTCAGACGTACTGGGTAACACTAGTGTGTCTAAAACTGTAGTAGGTGCTTCGAACGACATAGAAGGTCGACTAAGCAGACTAGAGGCTAAGCTTGAGGAGCAGAGCAAAATGATCCTAGAACAAACCAAGCTTACAGTACAAGACATTATTCCGCAGCAGCTGAACCTATCAGTTCAAGCCGCTATGCAAGACCTCAAGCAAAGCATTTTGCCAATTCTCACAGCCAGTGTACTACAAACCGTTCAAAATTGGCTCACACCCCAATTGGACCAACTCAAAACTAGCATTAAGATAACAGAACAACCCCGACGCAAAATTGTTCATCGTAACCTGGCAAATTCTGAATCCGAGAACAACATAGCCCAGTCGTTAACCAACCAAACTGAGTCCCCCACGCCTCTCTAGGCTCCCACGCTGGATGCAGTGGCGAAAATGACACCTCCTCAGTAATAAATTCATGATGGCAGGCAATTCTAAACATAATAATAAAAGCTCCAAACAACAGCAACTCGATATTTTCCAGTGGAACTGCAGGGGGTTTAAAGATAGGAAAAAGAGGGCCACTCTTAACCTTTTCCTGCAGAATCAACACTTTACCCCTGCAGTTTTGGCGCTACAAGAAACCGGCTTACAGGCGAAATTGCCTGGTTACAACTCATTTCAGGGAAGTGCGTCCACCTGTGTTCTTGTACACAAGGAGTATACCGCTTGTCAGATAGACCTTGATCTGTCAGAGGCGCATGAATACACAATGGTCAAAGTCCTTCCCAATAAAAGACGAGATCCTAGCTTGTACATTCTAAATGTATACCGTTCTCCAAAATCCGGGCAATGTGTCTTCAATGAAATGTTTTATAAAGCGATTAAGGAAGCAGATAAGAACCCACTGGTGATTTTGGGTGACTTTAACGCCCCCAGCTATCATTGGGGTTACACCCACGAAGTCCCCAAGGGACGGAAATTGGCAGAACTCATATCCACTCTTCGTCTATCGCTTCTCACAGATCCAATGAAACCCACTAGAATCGGGAATTCTGTAAACCGAGATAGTTGCCCGGATCTATCACTGACTAAGAACATTTCCTACGAAACACGGGAAAACTTAGAAGAAACGCTCGGCAGTGATCACTGTCTCCTCAGAATCACACTCTCCGGCAACATAGGCCGTAGAACATGGAGCCAAGCTAAGCTGACAGATTGGACAGCCTTCCGCTCACAGGTGATCCCCTCTGTGCCAGGGGCGGGAGGATATACGGGATGGGCAAAACAGCTCCTTGCAGCCAATTCCAAGTGTCTTAAAACTATAAAGACAACGGAAGACACCCCCGCCGTCGATAAGTACCTGCTCCACCTTTGGGACGCCCGCAGAAGCTTAACTAAACGTTGGCGAAAAAACGAATTCAACCGCAAGCTTAAACTTAGAATAGCCAAGTTGAGTAAGCAAGCGGATGAATATGCTGCCCAACTGAACGAATCCAATTGGATAGAACGGTGCAATGTTATAGCTAAAGAAATGAATACAAGGAAAGCATGGTGCCTATCTATGCGAATTGATATGTATTCACCGCTACCATGCGATACATGTAACTTTCCCATCTGCCCTCCTGCTTGGTCCTTATAGGACTGCAGTATGTAATAAATAAAAATAAAAATAAAGTAATGTGTGAATATGCCGGTAAATAATGAGAATATTATCATCACACGAATCAAAACGGTGAAGATAGTGCTATACAAAAAGCTCATGTTTGGGAATCTCAAGGGTATTTATATAGAGTGACAGGAAGTGCTCTTTCTTATTTCAAGTAGTTATGTATATATGAAGAGTGTTTCAAACCCTAATGGCCTGTGGAAAAAAAAAAGAATTGAAAACAGTTACTTCTGTGCAGGTACTCCTTAAAATTTGAGGGTGCGTATGACGTGAGGGCCTAGTTTCTTGGTAATATATGTGTTTCTTTCAATACGATGGTGATTGTGAAAAGTTAAAACATTTTCTGGCGAGAAAGTTCTGTAAGGTCACGGAGGTTCAGTATTGCTGCTTGTTGCATTAATTCAAAGGGGCATTGAAATGTGCGGTATTGAACTTGAACCTGACTGTTTTCTTAACACTGAGTAGCAGTGCCTAATGAAATGTGTGCTAGTACCGTAAGAACGTATTAGGTTCACATCTTCTACACTTGCCTGACAGTGCTTCTTGCTTGTGATTTTTGTGAT